TTAATTGATTAATTGAGATTTAATTGTAAATAAATGAAGTAAAAAATAAAAAGAGTTTTCTTAAAGTTTCATTTTAATATGTAATAGTAATAGAATGTTATTGCAATTTTTGTCTGCTCTATCTAACTTTAAGCTTCCTCAGTAATGCCCCGTGAACCATATCTGCCATTTCAATTCCCTGCAATCTCGCGGTTCGATTTCTTGTTTTTCTCTATTTTTCTCGGCGCGGATCCAAAAAAGAGGGACTGGAACTTATTTTTGTTATCTACTCTTCCTAGCTGAATATTCGTTTTTAACGAATAAAAATTGTAAATGGCACAAAATTAAAGATTTGAATCTCAAATTAAACATTTATTTTTAAATATTAGTGTTAGAATAGTTATGGCACAATTTGTATTAAAGGAGAGAAAGAGAGACTTTTTTTTATGCTTATAATGTACATTTTAGACTTAAAGACTGCATGCATAAGATATATGGCTAGTCTTACATTTATCTCATTTGATAAAGTGCATTAAATAAAAAGTAAAAATAAAAGTATTTAAAAACTATCGTGTCATTGAATATTCACAATATGAGAGAGGAATGTTGTCACGCGTATCTGCGAGTGTTATTAATATGAATCGGTCTCCCCCTATTTCCGTCCGTTTAAAGTTCCATTTCTATCAATAATTCTGACAGTACGTCGAAATGCGAAATGATTGGAGCAGGTTGACGTTGCCGAGATCTTGTCAGATAACGATATCCGGATATTTCCGTAAATCCTGTTATCACCGATTTCCTATTGACATAAATAGCTCTAATCTGATACACATAGCAACCTTGGCATCATCGAGATATCTTGACTCTGTCAGAAATTGTGTATATCTCTTCACGAAATATATATAAGTTTAAAGCCACATATGTATATTAGATAAATTAGAAGATATAGAAGATTTTTTTATTTAAAAATATATTCTTTACATAATCCGAAAGCTAAAAAGGACTTATCGCAAAGATGTTAGTGTTAAAATATGTATTGTCCAATGAAATAAAAAAATATAAAAGACAAATGTTTTGGGCAAATTTAGACCATCTTCAATGTAGGCAAAAATTATCTTACAATCTTGTAAAGTTCTTAAGTTATCACCTCTTTAATAAAATTATTGTGATCAAGAAGAAAATTGTATAAAACAGCTTATTAAAAATATAAAAAAGTATCTGTCATTAATCTTAAAGTATATGTTATGAAAACTAACTATGGATTAAAAATGTTGTATTGAAATTAATCCAATTCTTTATAAAGAGATAAATTGCAATGAATAATTCAAGTTATAAGAAAGTTTTTTGGTAGTTAAAGAAATATTCTATAGAAGTATATAAGAAAAATGACAGAATTTATTACAGCAATTATAATTATCAATTTTTGTTATTAGACAATTGTTTGTCAAATGAAATAATTAACCATGGCAAATTAAGAAAGGAAGTAAGAGGGAAGGTGTGAATAAAAGTAACAGAAGATAGAGAACTATAAATTATTAAGAAATAAATAATAAGATAAGGATAGAAAGATATGTCTCAGAAAACAATTCTATGTCACATTATTTATTGAAACCACGTTGTTGTTTATATATATATTATTTCAGAGATTAATCTTTTGTTATAAAATGATTCGTTATCTAAAATTTTGATATCTTCTCTAATTAAACTCATAATCGATTATGATACAATAATTAGAGGCAACAGAAAAAGTTCCTTTTTTTTTTTTTAATATCAGACATATGTTTATGAATCTTTGTTAAGTTGTTATTTAATCCGTTTATTATATGTGACACTCTCTGGCAACCAAGTTTATAGACATTACTCTATGATATGATATGAAATACAAGTCTTTTCCTATTTTTATAAATTTCTTTAAATAATTAGAAATTAAGAAAGTTACTTCTATAATTATGATTGCTGGTTATAGGTAGAAAATTTTCTAAAATGGTTTTTATGTTATCTTTTCTTTATATTTTAAGTTTAATGTGTAAATTTCAATGTATAAATTTTCACACATAATAAAATTAAATTAATTATTATATCATTTATAGAAAATTCGCATAATTTAACATTTATTATTACAACATTTATTATCTACTTTTATATGATATTTCTTATGGTTTTAATTAAAATTTTTTTTGTTCAACTCTTAATGCTTATTAAATGCGTCGTCTTTTGTAACTCTGCAGCGATTTCTTGAATGCCATGAATGTAGTGAAATACATAGAACACTGTTATAGAACTCGACACATTTCACGATAAATTCTTGCAATATTATTCGAGATTCAAACTTCACTGAAGGTGGTCATCGGTTGCGGAATTCCGTATAACGTTTCGACTACGATCCTTCAAAAGTACTTTCCGAAATCTAGGGTTTAACCGAAGCCGACACGGCTATCTTCTTAAACTTCGGCATTGGTTTCCATCGGTAATTCCGCGAGTGATGGCATAACTTTGAGTTTACTGAGAAACACGTTTGGAAACCACAAAATCCTGCGGGTATCGTTTCCCGTTAACAACAATTTCCTGTTGCGAAACGAGCTCAAGCTTGTTTACCACATGATTTCATTGCTGTCTTTAGAAAATTAGCTTTGCTTCTCGCTGTAGATTACATTTAAGCATCCATGAGATTGGGATTAAATATATTCGCTTTTAATGTGATTCTTCTATTTTAAACTTCAGTCTTGTAAGACCTAATCTGATATGATGAAAAGCTATATTCAGTTTTAAATTTAATGTAATTATGTATCACACATATATAATATTTATATAATAATTATTCTTTTAAATTAAATATTTTTACTGTCTCTTCTCTTCTTATTGAACTATTCAAATGTTAAGTTATATTATTTGTAACACATAATATATGTTCTATTAAATATTAAAATAATTATATAAAATATAAATAGATATAAGTATAACATATATAAGTATAAAATTTATTTATTTTCTATAATTTTATTATTTATTTTAACTTTGAGAATAATTTAATAGCACGTTTAGTGAGAAAAAAGATTAAATTACGTAAAAGATTAATTTACGTCTATGTATAAAAATACAGAATTAAGAAAAAACTGTAAACTACAAACATACAATATAAATCTGTAGAATTAAAAACTTTTGAATTAAATTTTTATTTTATCTGAATATTGCAGAAGATCCAAATATAAAGCATATGTTCTCTTGAAATTACTTTATTCAAAAAATTTAAATAAATCACGCTTGGCTAAAATAGAAATGAATTTTATAATGTTTTAAATTTAAAAACTTTAAAAATATGAATATAAAAGTGAAATTCGTTGAGAATAAAAAAACTGTGCAAAATCAAATCGATTGCATTTCGAACAGACAATTATGCGTTGCAAAAGCAAAATTGTAAAAAGACATTCGCGCGTTTTATACAGAAAAATATTAACGGTCGTGAGATAACAATGGATTTATTAAATTTGATTTGTTATTTTGTTCACGACATCATTATAAAACGATAGCAGATATGCTGTAATACAAATTTCTCGTTTATCGTTTTTATGCTTTGTAAATAACTTCAATTTTCATAAATTCGATCAACTTGATTTTTTCCTTTTTCTTTTATATTTTCGTGTTCTTTTAATTCTCGCAATAGCCAGCGAAAAACAATAAAAAGAACATTATTCTACATTGGTTGGATAGATGGGAGAATACGAGAATAAATGCACCATCAATCGAATAATATTTTCGTTGACTGCTATACTGTGTCCTACGACAGATAATAGATGTACCAGAGGGAGAGAAAACAAGCTCGTGATATGATACGAATCCACATTCTTCACTGACCATTGTTGTTTGGATTTACAACGCTTTTTTTCTTGCATATGTTTCTATTCTATCGCACGTCATATTGTTGGCGAATTTGATAAACGAGTATTCAATGTGATAGAGAAATTTTGATTCCTTGAAAAACATTAAATCAATAAAGCTTGTATATGTAGATATGTTTTTGTTTATCATACTTTTATATATTATTACACTTTAAATGAAATATGTAAACATTTACATTTTTTCAAGCTTACTAGAAAACATGAAAATGTAGAAGTATTTAAAAATAATGTATGATTAAGAAAAATAGATATTATATTAGCTATTATAATGAAATATTCAATTTCTTCTTAAACTGAAATTTATATAAACAACAATGAACAATATGCATAAAACTAAATGCAAGTATATGATATGTTGCTACAATTAGCAATTAATGTAGTATTACACGTGAAGGTAATTCTCTAACGGATGAAAATCTCAATAATTGGCTCAGCCGTGGTCCTGACGCTCTAGATCCTCGCGAAATTATCGAGCCGATTAATTGAAAGCGTCATAATTGCTTCCGGCCAATCTTGCTGTTGCTTGGCAAAGAAATACTAATTACACGAGAGCTGAATGGGAATTATCGAGAATATTGTCGAATTATCGGCAGACACAATAGAAGTGCAATCGCATTTGATTTCCAATTTTGCTTTTGGCAACGCTTATGCGGATACTCAATACATTTAATATATAATTATAAATATTAATATATAATTAATATTTGTTTAATATTAATACGTTGTAAAAAGAAACTTCTTTTATTAACAACACCGTTGTATCAATTCAAAATATTTACGTATTTATTTGTTGCATCTATATTATTAGACGTATTTTGCAGACTAAAATGAAACTTGAGTAAAAATCTTGAGAATAAAAATGGAGAAAGAGAATTAAATAATGGAATTAAATTTCTATACCTAAAGATTAAAGGATTTGTGGATCCAATTACTGAAGCATTTAAGTACTTGAGTACACAAAACTCTATAGACCTTGGATGTAAAAACTTAAACACTTTAAATATTTTAAAAGTATAAAGAAGTTGAAAGGATATAAGTAATTTAATTGTAATATATTCGAGACTTGATTTGCGATTATGAAACTATTTGCCTGGCGTCGAAGCAACATCTTATTTTATTTTTCAGTATCTTCCTATTTAGGATATTTATCGGCGCCTCTTTATGAACATTTCTTCCATGCTTCACAAATTTCTCAGTCTTCGTGTCTATAAAAACTAATAATTGTTTCGTACTCTCTTTCTCTCTGTCTAGTGAATCAAATTTCGTCTTCCTTTTATGGAATACAATATTAACGTGTTTATAACATATAAGAGATATATTTACAGTTTTTGATGTTAAAGAATAATATATATGAGCATTAGTAATAAAAATTGTCATTAAAGTGTCTTATCTTCTTGTGATGAAATGTGATATGTGTTTTTCGTAATGTATGCACAGTAATTAAACTTTAAATAAAATAACAATATTTATAATCGCAAATGATTACAACGTTATTAAACAGTGTTAAATTTATAAAAAAGTCCAACAAACAAAATTGTGCGCGAAGCGGAGTGTGTTACAACTTTTAAGTGTAATGTTTAAATCATCAACAATGGCAATGACGAGAGTACGGAAAAAATACATCATAATGACGGAAATTATTAAAAAAATAAAACGGAACATATGTCAGATTATTTATAAACAATATAGACAGTAAACTTGTATTCTGTATTTGTGATCGTGTACCTGATTTACTCAAAAATGAGACAGTGAATATTCCTCTGTTAATTAAGACTAATCTTCCAAAGTAAGAAATAAAAAGAATCAAGTTCTCAAGAGACTCAAGAGAAAAAAATGCGCGGCTTGTATGTTCTATTGATGATAGGCGCACTCGTCGCCTCGTCCAAGGACGGCTTAAAATCATCGATCGGCCAGACTGATCATCCAAAATTGATGAGGGGCAGTAGTAATACTTCGTTACCTAAGCTTAGTGTTGGCTTGATAGTGCCGCACACAAACTTCGGCGCGCGAGAATACACAAAAGCTATCAACAAAGCCGTTGTCAATCTGCACAAAGGTCATAGCAAAACTAAAGGACAGTCCAGGTTCTCTTTTCTGGACAAATATGAGTTTACTCCAGGACAGGTCTATAACACCATGATGAAGCTGACGCCAAGTCCGACAGGTAAATATTTTCGTGACTGATTAATTCTCAAAACGAATGCGTTCATTTTATTATTTATTTTGTATTTATTATATTTTATTTTACTATGAGATAGGGATTGATATCAATATTTTATAATATTTAAGTTTACAAGTTTGTTTCTGAGGCAGAAATATTTAATAGAAATGTTGTTGATCAAATAATTAATATTAATGAAATTAACAGTTTATTTTTTTGTTACTTATATAATAAATGAGAAAAATGATTTATACAAATTTAAAATAATATATATAATATATAATTTTAAGCGGCTAATAGAATTTATTTTTTCCAACATATTACATTTTCTTTATCGAATTTCAAAGATATGATTAGATTGACATAAATTTGATTAAATACTGGTGATACAGATTTGGCAGAGTCTGATGCGACTTCAACAGGTAAATAAGCTACATGTGAAATCGAGGAGAAACTGTGTTTGCTCTGTGAATATATAACGGGTACTGGTAATATAGCCGGCTAACATCGCAAAGTAATATAGTAGACATTAATGTAGCGATGTTAAGCTCAGGTTCTTACCGACTTATTTTCTCATCAATACTGAAAATGTGACACAGTACGATAAAGTTAAAGACAATAGGATAATATCATTATATTATAGTCATATATTTTTTATAGACTTTTATCAATATAATAGCTTTACAAGATTTTATTAATCATAAACAATCCGTAAAATAAGATTACTTTCAATGGTTGTTCACGCGCCGTTATATTTTTTCTTTTTACTCTAGTGTTTAAAGTCTGCTCGGGTCGTGTGAACATCATCAAGCAAATACAACTACGCGCAGACCCCTCGTAATTTCCCGTCCGACGACATTGGTCGAGAAGATTTTTCCATGGGAAATATTTCTCCGCGCGCTGTTCGGCCATAAGAGTGATATACGATCTGTCGGAATTAACATTGGCGCGATGCGTTTCTCCGCATTCAAAAGATGTCCCGGCGAGCCAATATTTCAGACTTAACTTACACGTTTATAACGGCAAGACATCGATGTTGGTGTGTTTACGCGTTTGCTATCACCCGGTATATGATTCTCACGTTGGAAATTTCCTCTTCCATTTAATATTTCGGAAGCGCTCTGATTATTCCAATCTCAACGTTTGCAAAACCGCGATCGTACCACTTTAAGGCAACGACGATGCTTTGAGCTTTAAACCACCTTCTTCGAGGTGATATGTAGGGAGAAAAGCAGTATGATACAGAGATGATCACGTTATTAACTTTTGAATAGTTAAAATGGATTGCAATTTCCTTAGCATTCTTTGAGATCACGACCATTATGAAGAATATATTTATGCACGCGATCAGATTTTATCTTGTCATGGTTTATTTTTAATACCTCGAAATAATATTGCATAATGAAAGAAGCAATATTATAATAGTATGAATTTATAATATTATATATTATTTATATTCGTGAATATATTTAAGTGAACTAAATGAAATTTATTCTATTTAATTGAAAATGTTAGCAGTATATAAACAATTAAATAATTCTAAATTTGATTATAATTAGTTTTAGAAATATTTTAAATATTTAAATAATAAGTTTAAATATTTAAATAATAAAGAACAAGCTATTGATTAAGCGGCTATCGAGTAAGTCTATTGCTAAGCATTAACTTTCATTAGTTTCGTGTTTACGAAAACACTACTATATTCTGCGCGAGCTTTTAGACTAATTGTGAGACGTTTAGTCAGGACGTCCAGTATGCATTCAATTAAACTTATCTCGTCAATTTATACTTCACAAGGAAGTTTGTAAACCACGTCACACTTTTATCGTTTGAATACTTATATTTCGCTGACGTAACGCCAAATCTCGGACGTTTCAATTAAGGAAAACTTTGAAATTTATGACTAGTAAAAGTAAAATGACCGTGTACTAAATTTACTAAAGGAAAAAAAGTGCTTGTTTAAACACGAAGAAATAATTAAATAATAATATATGCAGATCCTTTCATAAAGCATTCACGTTATATGAAACAATATTTCTATTAACCTAATTACATAGCTAACAGGCTTAGCGCATATCATAACTATTATTTCTAAAGAAATACTTATTCCGTGTACTTTATTCAATTTTTTAATACTACTATTACGATATAATCAGAATAAAAAGATGTATTTATAGATTCGTTAATATAATATAAATATCGTTAAGTTTAAGAACAAAGTAAAATAAATAATATTATAAATAAGTATAGCTGTGTTAGATAAAAGAAGTTGTTTTTTTTAATTTTAATTCAAAAACATTAATTGAAAAATATTATATAAATAAATTAAAATATATTAAAATTTTCATGCCGTTACAATATTCCTGATATTTTTAAATATATATGCTTTGATAGAAATAAGCCAACATTGTTTAATTAAATTTTACTGGACATCTTAAAATGACATGAGATTGACAGTGCCAATTGATGAAACTCTCTTATTTCTTGGCATCCTCACAATCATGTTCAGTTTTTTCGCGATTATTTTAGACATAAAGTTTCCATTAGTAAATTAAAAAGAATTTACATTTCCTTCTATTATGATATCGCTCATGTTGCGTAGAATTAAACAGCTAATTGAATTCATAAAAGTCAAACAGACGTAAAATATATCTCATCAGTAGAATAATGCTATATATGGTCAGACACGGTCAGATTCATTTTTAAAGAAGAAAGTAATTTTTCTTATTATATACACTTACACTTATATTTATTCTAAATAATATAATTTTCATAAACATTGACTGTGAAACTATAGAAACCTGTTTCACGTTCATAATTGGCTGATTAATTAATTTTAGCGGTTAAGCTGACTATCGATATACGAACGTTGAGCCGCAACGGCCAAGGTAACATTCCCAAGCCAGTATCTCCGATTATGGTAGCGTAATCATTACCGATATTGTAATTAGGGACGAAATATCTTTGTGGCCAATAACATCGAATCCTCGATTTGTCAGGATTGTCGTTATTGGCATCAGTAATTGTTGGTCGAAATAAACGCGACCGATTTCTGGTTTAGGAATCTAGATGTGTTAATATTAATGACTTAGGATAGAATTGGTAGAATTGTGTTAAGTTGCAAATTTCATGATCAGTATAACATCACAAATGTTAGAAGTAATTAATCTTGATAAATTACGCGTTCAATTACGTTAACCGGATTTACGTCGGTATCGATACGATTAATAGATTACGTTAAATCGCGAGGAATATTTTGATAATGAAATATGTGTTAATATATTATATAGAAATAGATATATAATTTAATAGAATGAAAAAATAAGTTTGCAATTGTTATAAAGTTAAATAAAGCCGGATATTAATTTGGCACTTGTCAGATGGGACGAGCAATGGCCACGTTTGCTAATTCCACGCATCCAATTTTAAATTAAAGCCATTTGCTGTTACAAGCGAGAATCCAGCATTTCATTAGGAATTATTAATTTTCGCGAAACACGCAAAGTCGTAAATAACCCATTCATCGATTTAAACCAAACACCAATCAGCCATAAATAATCTGTTCGTTAATAACACTTGACGAGAGTTTAAAACAAGCGGCTCCGATTTGTCGAATTTGTCGTCCACTTTGGACATTTATCGTTTTCGGATATAATTCATAGATTTTGAAATAAATGCAATAATGCAAAATATCTTTCACTATATATACATTTATCAAACTAGATACATGAATAGGATTTTTTAATAAGGACAATGCAGTTTTATTGTGATTTAATAAATAATACGTTATTGATCAGAAATTGAAATTGATCATTAAATTTGTAATAACATTTTTGTGTGATTCTAATACTAAGAAACATGTTTTGACTGTTGCTTTTGCTGTATTAAGATTTATTCTAACAAAATGCACATGCTTCTGTTTAAACAAATTATGAATACATTGTCGACGAGGAATTTGATTATAAGTATATTTTTAAATCAAGATACTTTTTGATTAAAGGATTCGACTTGCTTTTGCTTGAGATAGACTTAACTATTACATTTCTACTACTATGTATTTTCATTAATTTGGGATGTATTTTCATTAATTAGCGTAACATACGGTTGTAGAGAGAAGGGAAACTGGATCTTGTTAATTTAATATTTTTATTATGAAAATAAGGCTTCTAGAATACGACTGTTAGAATATTTTTTAAATAACATTGTTTTTCTTAATAAATGTAATGTGTAATGTTTTTTTATAAGTGTAATATAATTCTTCGTAAGATAATTTATTTATTTAAATAAGATAAATATCACAAATATTTTTATTTTTATTTATAATTTTATTTAAGTTGTAGGAAGTACAGAAAGCTACACAAATATTGCTTTGTTATGGTAACTGTGATTATGGCCTTGTTGATAACAATACATGTGAATATACTGCTGGCGTTGCATTAAAATAATGTTACTCAGTAACGCTAATATAATCACATTATAATCAAATTAATTAACTATGTATTTTCACGGTGTTGATATTAAAGGCAATGAGTAGATTACTGTTCGCATATTTCAATTGTTCTCAATTACTGCATTGATTCTTAATTGGTAACTTTAATTAAATTTTTCGAGAAAATTCCGAAAGAGATGAAAGATGGATACAATATATTATATAGTAAATTAATTATATTAATGACATAATTATAACAGTTGTATATTTTGATAAGTTATTTATACATATAATTTGACAATTACATCAATCACGTGCAACGATGTATAAAATTAAAGATAAAAGTATTTAAATATATTATATTAACATATAAATTATATTTTATATTTAGTTTGTTTTTAAAACATGTAGAAAATTTATATAAACTATAAAATTACATATTAAATAAAGAAAGAAAAATTTAATATGCACAATCAGGTGTAGAATATTTATTTAAAACATAAATCATAAATAAAAATTAGTAGTACGAAAAATACATTTATTAATAGATATAAAAAAAATCTAGATTTTATTACTAAAATGTTTACGATTATTATCACAATTAACATAATTAAATATTTTTTAATAAAATTAGGATAAAAAATAATTTAATTGTTACTAAGTTCAATAATGTAAAAATTAATAAAAAAACTTATCAATTTATATTATATGTATATGTAAATTTGTATTTGAAAATTAATTATGTTTGAATCACATAGCATTCTTCTATATAGATTATTTCAAAATTAAAGATAATTATTGAAGAGGCCAATCATGCATTGCACAAATCGACTCTTTTGATTGATCTTTTGTATTAGTACTTGATAAAGCAGTGAAGCGCTCATATTTCATGAAACAATGTTATATCACAAAGAATGTTTTCCGTGTTTTAAATCAGAGAATATTTACCATCATGCATTAAATATAATTGTAAAATGTGAAAATTATGAAATTTAAGTTACACATACATAATGATAAAATCATTTTAACAAACAAATTAGAAAATTTTAATTTACTTCTATTTAAACCAGTACAATTAGTAGGTTTTATAAACAATTAAAATATTTTATTTGATAAGTGAAATAAGATTATAAATCTGTACTTTTACGTTTAATTTCGATATTTTGTGAATAAAAATAGAATCTTAATATTTTATAAATATATAATGTAATTTTATATATGTTAAAATAAATTACATATACGAAGATTTGAATTACAATTTCAATTGTCAACAATTATAATTTCATTGAGAGATTTCATGATAAATACAATTTATTATGTTTGAACTGAAAAGTTAAAGTATTTTCACATTTCAAATTGAGAAAATAGTCAGAGAATTTTTGTAGAAACAGGAATTTCATAAGAATACAATCTCAAATGCTAAATTGTCTATTTAAATTCAAGTTCACTCTACTCTTCTACAATTTCAATTCTATGTTATGACTTCTATGCTTTTTCTTAAATTGAATTAAATAAACAAAACAAGAAGAATACTACATGACGCAAAAATGCGTTAAACTGAAACTTTCAGTTACTTCACATTTCGAAACAATAGAATAAAAGGAAAACGAGGTCAGTCGGTCAAGCGTATCGCTGCATGAGGTACATTGAACTATATTCGTGGTCGCCATCGTTTTGCTTCTCGCTTTTCGAAAAATGAGTGTGCGTGTGATAAAGGCACAGAAATAAATTTAGCAGAGAAGAATAATGCAATGCGACTGGGATAACAAAAGTTGAAATTACGCGTACTGTTTTATTTCCACGGCTAAATGATAAAATATTCAGCACAGAGATGCGTTCAATGGCCCTGATGAGATAGACCCATTTAACTGGATTACCATAATTTACAAAGAGTTATATCAATTGTTTTCTAATACTGATTCAATTAGATTGAATTAGAATGATCTAATGCGTAAAAATTAAGTTGTAGAGACAAATTAAATAAAATAAGACAAAAGATATATATTAACAATTATGTGTTTAATGAATATATGTAGTTTCAAACTTTCAGATAATTAAGAATTATTAATATATATCTTGTTAAAAGTAAAATTGTTTGGAAATTTTTGTTAAACAAAAACAAAAAAGAGAGATTTACTCTTTGTTATCGGAATTATTACTTATTACAAAATGATTTGTGTTTCAGCTATCTTAGACTCACTTTGCAAGGAGTTCCTTTCGGTGAACGTGTCGGCCATTTTATATCTCATGAACTATGAGCAATACGGACGGAGTACAGCCAGCGCTCAATACTTTCTTCAATTGGCCGGTTATTTAGGAATCCCTGTGATCGCATGGAATGCCGATAACTCTGGTTTGGAAAGAGTAAGTCGATACAACTAAAATAAGAAGGTTGAAAGAATTTACGAATTAATGTTTCTGCTAAGCGCGCAAATAATATTTGCTCGCGGGTGAATTTTTCATTACGCCAAAGAATCTCTCAAGTTATATTGAAATGTATAAGATTGCACAGTTGCAATTTATGATGAAGTTTATACTATTAATTTTTCTTTCTCGATGTGGACGTACTTTTTGTAATAAAATTGAAATTAGAGTTGAACAAAAATATACAACATACTTTGCTAACATTCGCGAACATAACGGAAATTCCGTTGGTTTGTAGCGAGCGTCGCAAAGCAGCCTGCAGCTGCAGCTGGCACCCTCACTGGAACATCAGACCGCGGCGATGCTGAGTATCCTGGAGAGGTACAAGTGGCATCAGTTTAGCGTAGTCACCTCGCAAATAGCTGGTCACGACGACTTCATACAGGCGGTCAGAGAGAGAATCTCCGACATGCAGGACACATTCAAGTTCACCATACTGAGCGCCATTCTGGTTACTGAACCGCACGATCTGTTGGAGCTGGTTAATAGCGAGTCTCGAGTGATGCTGTTATACTCGACCAGAGAGGAGGCTACTCATATCTTGACCGCTGCTAGGGATTACAAAATTACTGGCGAGAATTACGTATGGGTCGTCACACAGAGCGTTATGGAGAATCTACAAACCACCAGTCAGTTTCCAGTTGGAATGTTAGGTAAGTAGCAAAATTATTTGCATATCTATATATTTGCGGCCATTGCATCTGTAAATTTAAATGAATTCAAAATAACTACAAATGTACGGACTTAGAACTCCAAATGTACAATATGTATAAATTATGATTTACATTTATAACATATACATATATAAAATAATTAATTTACATTTTAATTAAATTTGCAATTGTTCTGATTAAAATTTTGTGTGATATTTTTATAGAAATGAGAAATTAAACATTCGTACTTTTTTCTTGCCTTAATTATACAAAATAAATTTAATTAAAATATTCATAAAATTTCAGAATTACATATATATTATGTCAAAAATGCAATTAAAATAATATTATTTTTAATTACATCGTATATATGTGCACATAGTAAAATATAATTTTTAATATACACATAGTAAACATAATTTTTAATTCTTAACATAGAACTTATTTGGAATATGTATATTATTTCACACATATCTTACTTGGATATGCGAATGTCACTATAATGCTGAGCGCATTTATGTCACGCTAACATTCAGAATACACCTTTTATCGGTAAGAATGCATAGCTTTCGGGCGGAAGAGTTATTCACACCGTGACCAGAATCGCGGAAAACAGAAAATTGATTCCTTCCTTGAGAATCTCCTGAGAATATCCTAGAGGGAAAAATAAATTCGTTGAATTCCTTCCAGTGAACCACGTGGAATAACATAACTCGGATTGAATCTCTTGCGTCTGAATTTCTGCGAGCTAAAACTAGCGCGGTAAACTCACAGTAGAACGCAAACATCTCGCGTTCTTAAACGTGATTGCTATGAATCGCGCAGAGCAAACGTTGCTTATATTTAATATTTTCTCCATCTTTCTCTCTCTTTTCTGTCGGTGTTGCAAGAGTACATATTCAACCATTCATATAAATTCACCTTTATTTTAAATAATGCAAAAAAAAAGGTGTACAAATCTTATATATTTTATCAAAAAATTGGTTACGTGCTGTTTGCTCTACGAAATTTCTAAAAATAGTCTCATAGGATTGAAAAATTTTCTATACAAATGTCACTAAATTTTTGTAAAATAATTTACTTTAAAACTAATATTCATACCATGCGGGAAAATTTAATTGACTTGATTTCTACGGGTCAACTTTAGGGTAAATAAAGGGAACAAAACAACAAATACGGCGATTCTTGTATAAACCTTTTTACGTATCTTGTCTATACATCGATTATCTTCACTTCTCTCTCTTCTCTCTCTCTCTCTCTCTCTCTCTCTCTCTCTTTCACGTCTTGCTAACACTTTCGATATTTATGGAAATGTAGTTGACGCAAGTGTGTCGCATAAAAATCTGGCTGAGTGAAACACCTTGTAAAGTATAAGTTTTTTTAACCGTGAAAGTTTTTTGCAACAAAACGATACATTTTCTATGTACATAGAAAAGTAGGGAAACAAATATTCTTAAACTTAAGCAAAATTAAATTGATAGCGGGAGTTATGAATCCGACAAAATTTATCATAAAAGAAAAGTTTTATTATTTTTATCTTTTCATCTTATTGAGTTATGTTTCTGTAAAATCCATTTTTTTAATTAATATTCTATTTGAGTCACATGAAACCTATTATTTAAAGCTTAGAATTATATTTTTCTTAAGTAGCTTTTAATATAACCGTGGATTTATTTAGAAATAAAAAATAAATTTCTCTCAAAATAAACTGAAGTCCAGTTACTCCAAGAATCCAATTTCTGTAAATCGCAAACTTAAGCAAGTTATTATTAAAGAATCCAAGCAATAAATCCTATATTGAGAACTAAAATCTGTTTCTGAAGTCTCATAAATTATTTACAAGCTCGTTCAGTTCTTTATTTGTTTCCACTCGATTAGTATTAGTAACAAAAAGTGAAAAATTTCGTTTTCGTATTGGTATGATTAAATTGATTATCTTACAAATATAAATAATTAAATTGATTATCTTACAAATACAATACTCTACTATAAATTTTGCCGATAATAATATCGCTTTAACGAACTTGCTCATCTTTTCGCAGGTGTGCATTTCGATACTAGTAGTGAAAGCTTGGTAAGCGAAATCACGACGGCAATCAAGGTCTACGCTTACGGTGTCGAGGATTTTGTTAATGATCCGAAAAATGCAAATCGCAGTCTGAACACTCAACTGAGCTGCGAAGGCGTCGGTGAATCACGTTGGAGCACAGGGGATCTATTTTTCAAGTAATTTCACATAATTTGCTAAAATATGGATAGATTCGTTCATGCAGCATTTGCGCAGAATTTAATAATAACAGAAAATAGTAAGAAAGAAATTTTTATCAAGTAATCATATTAAAGAATCATTTCATTTTATACAATAACAAAATTATATAAATTGTAAAAGAATTATATTCAGAAATAATACAGGATTTAATTTATGTATGATATTACGAAAAACGAACGTTTATCAAACGTTTCAAATTTATAATGCAATACATTATTTATTAATTTATTATTATATTTTATAATCTTATTAACATATATCATTTATTTAATATTTCATATTTTTAATACTTTAATGACTACATATGAATATATTAATATCTCAATATTAAAAAATTATGAAATTTATGTGCATACAATATTATTGTACATATTGTACATATTGAATTTATTGTATCTCTAATTATAATTTTTACAAAATATTCGTAGTTTATATTTCATATATTTCGACGCATTATATCTCATTCTCTCTCCTTAGATATTTGAAGAACGTTTCGGTTGAAGGTGATCAAGGAAAGCCAAACGTAGAGTTCACTCAAGATGGTGTGTTAAAGGCGGCGGAGTTGAAAATTATGAACCTTCGACCGGGAGTTAGCAAGCAACTCGTCTGGGAGGAGGTAAGCTGAAATCATCTTGCATGCACTTTACCAGCCACGAAACTTTACCATCTGAAGCTATTGCTAGTCATGCCGCGAGATATTATGCTGCTTCGACCGTTCACAAATAAATACATAAAGATCAACAAATAATTAAACTAAAGCGCTAAACCAAAAGACAGAAACCTTGAAGTCATTTCGCCAAATGAAACTGAATTTTATCGCAATATTATTAATGCAATAAGATGTTTGCATACAATTTGTATAACGGGGAGAAATTCTAATATAAAAAAATACAGTTGCATAGAAAGAAAACAAATTATATGCAAACGACCAACAATTATGCTCTGAAAAATTTTTTCTTTGTTCAGCAAACTGTTGCGAAAAGAGTATTTTGAAAGATTATTAATTGTTTGTTTATTGTACAATATTTTTTAATAAATTTGAAAAATTAAACAAACGTTTATCAGCAATAATAAACATATATTATATTTGATCGATAAAACAAGAATTAAAATGCGCTTAAAGATAAAATACAAGAATAATTTACAAATTTAATACGTTGTGTTTCAGTCAAAGTTGTTGAAAAAAGCGCTTGTAAAAGTCACGCAATAAGCTGAAAAATTTTTTTTCCAGCGTCGTGCACAAACTCGTTTCAAACTTCGTTTGCCGAACAAGCGTTATCGAGTAAAAATGTAGAATTTATCGCCTTTGCTGCCGAAAAGGTTCAAAGGGGCGCGCTATATATAACTTCGTGATCGTCTCTTTCGTTACATTAGATTTATGGCGTTGAACCGCGGAATTACGGTAAAGTTTAGCTTCCTTTTGCGTCCAGCGCCGATGATATTCCTTTTGTAATCTGCTGAGAAGAACCGCAAACGAAGCGCCACTTTATTAATCGATGGAATAACCTCATCATAATCCATATCCTTTATCGTTTTCACGTTTTCATAATGCGGCGCCGGATCATCCGCGATAATAAATTAGTGCGACAGTGCAGGCTTCCATTAAGTCTCATTGGTTGGACTTCCATCCAGTGAACGAAGACATGTTCTGCCGGGCTGATGCTTTCTAGAAATTGTCAGGCTTGGATGGCTCATAATCGCGTTATGAAATGCTCTGCAAGATATTTCAGAAGGCGCCCGTTTCCTTCGTCGATGGAAACGGCAGCACAATTGTCACATACAAAGCAGTTGAGAGACTACTGCATGTTGCTTTGTGGCAGATAAAACTAATATGGAATCCTCTAACATGCACAATAGAAATTTTCGACGAGGAAGATATTGTATTTTTATTGGAAAAAAATTTTTTTGTAGATTTATAGATAGTATAAAATAGATAGCATAAAATTTGAATATCGAAAAATTTTTACAATTTTACATTTAAAATGTAATTGTGCACATAAAATTGTAAATTATATTATTTAAAAAAAAATTTTTACATTGTTACATTTTTACTAACAATTTACTTGAAAATCTTCATTTAAATTATTTTGCTGTTAATTTGTTTATTATAATAAACTAAGTATAACATATAATACAATTTATGTGCATTTTCTTTTCTACTTACTTTTTCAGACTTACCGAAATCGTATCCATTGAATATTTGCCAGAGATTTTTATTTTCCGTTTGTAACTTTTAACAGCGGTATCGAGTTTTGCAAGTTTGATAAGAATTTTGTCAGAAATGCCGACGAAGTTTAACTCCGCCTTTTGACATTCCTCTTGCGACATGAATCCATCTTTGTTCAGCGAACCGTTTTATCCAGGAAATTCTTTCGTCACCTCATTAAAGTTTGAAACGCTTGCGTTGTGAAAACCACGTTGTCTCGATACAGGCAAGAATTTATCTATCCGCTTCGGTAAATTCGTCATTTGTAGAGGATGAGCTCGTCATAGACTTTTTTGTTGAATGGCTTGTAAAGCTTTTATACTTTGCACAGACTATTCATAATATATTAAGATCTGTGCCGGCAGCTCTTCTCTCAATCTCTACTTTGAAAACATTGTTTAAATATTCTAGCAGTCAGTATCAGCTGTAGGAGGTTCCAAGCTTTTTTTACCAACACTGTCGTATTATATTTAAATATTCAAATATATGACATAAAAGTGAATAAGAATAAGATATAAGTTTTATTATTCGAACATAAATATTATTTACTCAATATTTGTAAAATTATAATTATATTTAATTTTTAGAACAATAATGAACAAATTATTCTTTGATTTTTTGTCTTTTTCAAAATTATTCTCAATTTTGTAATGCTTATTGCATGACAAGGTTGGGAACATCAAGCTAAGATATATATTATATTTATCAAAAGAAACTTTGACACTTTGTATTTTGTTCATTAATCAATACTACTTTTAATCTGATAACTTTACAATAGAGATTAATGATTCGTCAAGTTTTAATGTACATAGATACCTCTATGCGACCATAACACTTTAGATAAATGTTTCTAAAAGCTTTTACAGTGATTGTATTTATGAATGATTAACTTCTTATATTGCTTAATAATTGTTTCATTAACAATTTATGAAATATATAACAATAAAATTTAATAGTGTTTTATGTATAAGAAGTTTTATGTATAAGAAATTTTATTTTTTTTGAACATGATAAACGTACTAGAAACTTATTTAAAATTAAATTAAAAAATTAAATTAAAATTATAACTTTTGAATATTCTGGAAGAAAGGTTAACATTCTTTTAAAATTAAGTAGATAAAAAAGCCAGAATATTCAAAATTATAATTTTAGTTTAATTTAGAACATTGATATGAAACACTTTTTAATTTGAGAAATAGATCGGGTCCAATATAAATTATTCAAGATAATGCATGCTTAACACAAAGCAGATTCAAACATTCTTTTAAATAAACAGAATTCAATTACAATTTCTGTTCAAATCCTTCATTTGTTGTGACGCATTTATCTGCACTTATCTTGCTAACTGAAACTATAATTAAAATGCTATTAATCCAGCACCTAGCTCGTCACGTAATGAAAGCTGCACTAAAATTTCATTTGCTGTCCTGCAACCGGCGTGGCGGGATGCGAAACTTTGTTACACCAACACGCGCGACCGTCTCAATTCTAGCGATTCATCGCGAGCCAGTCACGATTTTAATCATTTCTTTTAAAGGCGATCATTTTGACACATTGCCGGTCTAAGGACCATTGTACATTACGTGATATCATATCACTTTTGCCAATGCTGGTGTTTCGTTTCTAATTATATCTTTCATTTGTATTGTCAGCATGAATCACCATCGGCAGATTTTGGAATACCATGAAGATTTCATGTTTCTGTTTATCTCATTTTGACAGAGACATCCTCTCGTTTTATTATAGAAATAATTAACTCGAAATATTGAGCAGATAAATTTGATATTTCCTGCACAAAACTAAGCTGACAAGTTAATAAGGATAGCATATTATAATGCATAGATGTAGGAAAAAATATATTGTAAAATTAAAATATGAAATATTTATATTTTTTTTCTATTTAATGTATTTGATGAGAAGTAGATAGATGCGCGCTTTTCACAGGAAATATTGAATTCGTGATGTTAATAATACCCTTATGTATGATATGCATCAGCATACACGATGTTATTGAATGCAGGTTGCTTTATATCACGAGTTCATTAGAATCTCAAAGGCATTGAAATGTTTTGTATCTTTACTGCATTATCAAATTCATAATTCTATGAAATTGAAGTATCTTAAAGAAAATTATGCATTGTCAATCTTTCCAGAATATTATAATAATTTTTTATATAATTATACATGGAATAATACATAACAGATTGATAAAAGAAAAATTATTTTTTATTCTCTTTTTTAAATTGTTAAGTTCACAACAGAATTGGGAAACTACATTGAGTTAAATTGTACATCTTATATAGAAAAACATGTTGATATTTTGTGCTTATTAACACATAAAAATATGATATAAATCTTTTCTTTGATTGTGATAACATTTTTTATTACTAGAAAATTAAATCTCACATTAATTTGGATATTCTTCTATGAATCTTTCCCATTTAAATAACTTTTACAAGGAATATTTCTTGATAAATAGATTTACTCAATTTATGTTCATAAATTCATTAATTCGCACTTGGAGGAAATCAGATCTTTCTCTGACATCAATCCTCGCACTATAATAGGCGCCGGGTGTTTGTGACAAAATTTTAGTGACGCTGATAATGTATCATTTTCCGGTGTGCGCATGTTTCCCCGCACATTTCGCTACTAAATTGCCGGCCTTTTGCAAAATAAGCGGATTATCGGATCAAAGTCTGCTCGTGGTTCGATGCGAACGGTATTGCGCGTGAAACGCGTCGATCGACTAATCATGTTAGGTACATCCGCTAAATCCCAATTCCCGGTGCAAGAATCGCGCTAAACTCGCCGGAACGCAGTTTACTCCAGACTCTCTTGTATTCGTGCAATCGCGTGAAATTGGGTCATCACTTAGAAAGCTGGAACTAGAGTTAATTAGTATGCATGCATCGATAGAATAACGTGCAATGTATGACTCCGACGATCAACTATACATAGGTGTGACAAACACTCGTCATTTTAGACATGTTATCTCTCTCTCCTCTCTCTCTCTCTCTCTCTCTCTCTCTCTCTCTCTCTCTCTGTCTTTCTCAAGTCATTTTTCATTCCATGTTTGACGAAATTTTATCCTACTATTATTTCTCATCCTATTTAATTTTTATTTCTTATTAAATAGCGTATATATATTTTTGATATTATGTGAAAAAAGAGTAAAGAATGAGAAGAAAGTATGAATTCTTATTAATCAATATATGCTTTTTCATAAGCACCAGTTATGCAAATTGCAACCAATATATGATAACATTTCAATTTCAAAATAATTCTAGATTAGGAAAGTTCAAAATTTCAGAAAGATTATTGTTATGTTTCTTTCTTTCCGTTAAAAATAATGTATTGGAAATGTTTTTATTCTATTGTATTAATATTCTAAATTGTTGCAAAATGTT